CTAGTGATATTTTTGTATTCTTGATGAAATTTTATATATAAGTAAATATTCTCCTTGTTCATTAATATAGACTCACCTTTTATTTTCAATTGTCGAAAGTAATCGATCTTAAAACCTCTCGTTTCTCGTTGAGAAGACATAAAATTTAACTGCTTTCTTAATTATTATATAGAAATCATAAATAACAAGTAAAAATGGATAGGTCTCTTTTTCTCCCTCTCAAAATCTAAAGTCCTCTTTTTCGCTCTATTCTCCGTTTTTGTGTCGGCGGTTACCAGTGAACAATAGATCTAACTGTTTTGACAATTTTTGAGTTATTTTTGTCATCATTATGATGATTTTATAACAAATTCAAATCTTATTTCTAATAGAACGAAAAAATTTGAAAATGAATACACTTATAAAAAAAGATGGGGTCGAACAAGTGGAGCAAACAATATAATTGAATACAAATCATAAAGATTATATTTTTCTTTTTTACTTTTTGTTAAGTGGTTCGTTATTAAATTTCTTAAAATATATATATATATAGAAACATCTCGATCTATATTTCATATTTGTATATAATTTTCTTTCAATGAAAATTTTAATTTGATTCTTCTTAAAAAAAAGAAAGATAAAAGTGAAGGGAAAGAATATATACTCACATGGTGAAGTTTAAACATACTAAACATTTCACTTCCAAAATGAAAAGTGACAATTCTTCATCGTTCAATCTTTAGTGGAAAATAAAATGTATTTTCGATTGAATAACTATATATTCTTATTCTCTTTCTTTCTTTCTTTTCACACCTCCATAAATATTGAAGGGATAACTCTTTACTCTCATCTCATTCAACTAAATATATTTAAAAATAAATATGTTATTTATTTATTTCTCTTTTTTTATGATAATATCAAAATTTCCAAAAAAAGAATCCTAATCCCTAAAGAATATAGGCAAAGTTTGATAAAGTTACAGATTAATTGAAAGGGAATTCTTATTTTATTTATTTAATATATTTAAATTTATTAAAATGATCTAGTTTGATTCGCTTCTAAACTAATTTTTCACCTTCTCCGGTGGAGTTTCGGTCGATATGAAATCTATTTAGTCAAATTAAACTGAATTATTCAGTTAAACCGAATGCTCACCTCTGCAAAGATCAAAGTCAAAAAGTATTTTTTCTAAAAAAAAAAATCTAATAAATTGTCAAAATAAAAATATTTAATAATATGTATACAGTGAAAATTGGGATTAATTGGTGTAAGTAAAAATTTAATTAATTAGGAGCTCAAAGCTTGGTTTAACCAAAGGTCACTTCATCCACTTGCATTTTTAGTAGAAGCAATTTAGTGCCTATTATTATCAGTCCTCTATTGCTATGTTGTTAGCTTCCATTGCTCTGGCATAATAATATCGAATATAATAAAAAGCATAAATTCTCTTTTATATTATATAATTCTTTTTTTCTATATGTTTGTTTGATAAAAGAATTCTTTTTTTCTTATTTCTGTCATTGTATTCTTATATAAAAAAACTTTTCCTAATTAGTCTAATTACAAATAATTACAATCCCGTGATTGTAGGGATTCTTGATGCTGAATAGAAACTTCCTTTTCCAGGTTAGTTTCTTTTTTCTGTTTTCCAATACTATATATATTCAAAAGAGTTTTAAAAAAAATCTGAAAAAGAAAAAAGAAAAAAGATGAGAAAATTTGCAGAGCACAGTTAAAAATTTCAAAAATTTAAAAATTAAATAAGTAATCGAATTGAAATAACAGAAATAACAATTAGGTATTTCAGTCCATTAAGCTAGAATTAAAATTCTACTTATATCATATCAGTAAAAAATAAAGTGTTTTCAATGAATATTTATTTTATTAACGAACTCTCAATATCAATTAAAGTAAACGAAACGAACGAGAATCATTATTGGTTACAAGTTGCCAAAGGTATGAAATGATTGATGGTCAAAAAGGGCAAAATCCAAAGTAGGAAGTGGACATTGCATTGCAAGGAGTATCATCTTTTCCTTCACAACATGTTAAATATCAATTTGGCAAATGACAAAACATCAATCTTCATCCCTACTGTCTTTTTCCTTCCTCTAAAAGTTGTCACCACTCAGACTGAATCTATAAAAAGTTACATAAATTTAATGGAGATTTATTATGTTCTAATAGTTATATGAATTCATGCATTGAGCCAATCTAAATTTGAATGTCAAAGCAATTTAATTTCATTTCAGTTTTTTTTCATTAGGATTTAGATAAGGTTGTCAATCTAACACAAGGACCAGAGAAGAGTGTAAGGTTGTCAAATTATGAAAATTACGATTGGACTTTAATTATTTAGTGGAACAGAAAAGTAATAGTCAAATATAAAAAGTGATCCATTTATTTATAGCTTTATGCTTAACCATCCAATTCAATTATTAGTGCAATAAAATTCTAATATATAAAGTATTATTAGCATTATGTGATAGTGATTGATGATGTCAAATTTTGTTTTTATACTCTAAGATGATTTTTTTTTTCTTTCTTTTTTTTTACCCCATACATTATAAAATCATTTTGTAGATACCTTAAAATCTGATTACATATAGCTACTGAAGTTGTGAAAGCAATTGCATTATTTAGTTCATAATCAAAGTTTATGGAAATAATTTTTGAGAGGTACATTTTCTGATATTTGACCCTAACATCTACTTGGTCCTTATAAACTAACTATTACTCATTTTATAAAAATAAAAATGTTATTTTTGCTGTTGAATACCTTGTATTTTTTTATTATTTAGTTATTTAACGTTTAAGTGCTAGTTCTTCTAGTAGCCGTTAGTTGTTTTAACAGTTTTTAGCTATTTTAATAGCCGTTAGCCATTAGCCCTTAGATATTAGCAGCACTCAAAAGTGAAAATATTCGGTAAAAATAACTATTTGATTGGCAATTAAATTTAAAATGACAAAAAAAATATTAAAATATTCAGTTAGAATTTTCACTGCTCATTATATATATATTAAAAAAAAAGATGATTTTACTAAATCTAAATTTTCAAAATTGAAGGAACTAAAAATTGAAAAGTTCACCATTTTATAAAATAAGATTGAAAATTTTTAATATTTTAGGGATCGATATTTTTAATTTTTAATATTAATATTTGCTTGAGTTCGAATGCAAATATAAAAATAAACATTTTTTTTCTTTTACAATAGATTATAAACAAACCAAATATAAAAAAAAATAGTAAAAAAGACGTATTGTGATAATAAAAAGATTTAAATTATTTAAGGATAGAATTGTAAAAAAATTTCCGTAAAAAAACATAAATCACTAAAAGTTACGTGAGATAATGTTTTAAGTTACCGAAAACAATAATCGAGAGAAATACATATCAGGTTACCGAATACAATAATCTGAGAAATAGTGTGTTCAAAACACTAAAAGCTATTCTAAACACAGTTGCTGAAAACACCCTTAGTATGGGATTGCAATTTAGTCCTCCATATGAAATATAAAGTTACTATTTAGTCTTGTAATTAATAGTAAAATTGCACCATATAATAACTAAATAGTTTAATGAATTCAAAAGTTAAAAATGATTAATTACTTAATCAAAATACAAGAATTAAGTAGTAATTAAGATTAAATTTTAGATACTATACAATAAGAGCATTATCTTAATATCGATTGCTCTTATTTAATTGTCACATTAAAAAAATAAAAGATTTTAAAAAAAAATACTCCCTGCTAATATTTATTTGGTATCTCAAGGTGAGATATTAAAAAATAAATAAATATTGTCCGGTATATTTTTTATTTCTAGAGGATCTAATAAATGTTATGAGCATTTATTGCTCTAAAGTGATGGATTATATATTACATTACACTGTGGACCCAAAACAGGAAGAAAAAAGAAAATGCAAGTGAAGAAAGAGAATGCAAGAGTATCTGAAGTGACCTTGGAAAGAGATTTTTAAAATCCAAAATCCACAACGACAGGTTCAGGCAAATCCCCATCACAATCCTCATTTGTAAGAAGAAGACTTGTGTCAAAAAGCCAAATTATTTAGATGTGGAAGGTGAACTGGTAGCTGTATTCCTCGTAGGGCGAGGCAGAATTGAAAGTTAGATGATAAAAATTGAGAACACTTTCAGGGACCATACCTTGGTCCCCCGGAGTGGAAGTGAAAGAGAGAGAAAGGCCTCAGACTTGTTATGCAAGCTAATATGATTAACAGCAGCTATGAATATAGTGTTTATTTTCACATTTTATTAAAATCTGCACACAAAATATTACCAAAAAAAAAAAAAATCTGCGCTCAAAATCTAACTCCAGAATTCACCTAATCAAAAATCTCAACTCCAGAATATGTCAAATGCAACACAACCAAACTGGTGTCGTAGACCTGTGATAATATGATCCAGATTGGGCTTTTCTGTCTAAAAAGGAAACAAAATGGGCTTTTCAAACATGGTCAGCTAAGATGTCCAAATAAGAACATCTTTCCTCTTCTTTTTCTTGTTCTTCTTCAAGCAAACAGGTTAATACAAAGCCCTATACAAACAATTTTAGCACAGAACCGGCTGGGACTCATTATATAAACAATTTTCTCATCATTTCATTCCGTATCTTAAAACAAATAAATGCATAAAAGGAGAGGGGATAAGAACAAGGAGAATGGAACATAATTCCCATTCCAACCAATTGCATCGCTAAACTTATAGCATTCGATCTAAGGAAAGAAAAAAAAGAAAAGAACAATTAGTTGTCCACATCATACAACCTTATAAACATTCTCCATCCGCAAGCTTGTTTCCACTCCTTTGGATGCTTATATTGTTTAAGATAATCAAACAGAAATATACCTAAGCAATAAAGTTTCTCATACCCATATTAAGAATAGTATACAATTTGAACAAGGATGCATTTGCAAACAGATTAGTAAGGCACATGCATATAACCTTCTATTTGTGTGAAGTTTAATGGCGAATCCATTGCATACTACACAACAGGACATGCACAAAAGAAACTAAGCCTTTCATTACATGAGTTAGTACAATAAGAACAACAACAAATAAACAACATTAATTCATAGTAGAATTTCATTAACTACAAGCTCTAATGCCAAATAAATTCACAACAAAAGTAGATACACAGCATGCCTAATTCTTAAGTACCTTCTCATCTTTCTCCACAACTACACAGACCTTTTGATACCTGAAATCCACTGGTTGCACATCACCGTCAATTGGAAAAACCGTGCGCCTACTGACAAAGATCGCCCATGCAAATAGCACCGCAAATGCCAGTAATGCTCCACACCCAGTTGCAAAAATCATCCCAGCAAGAATTGTCAAAGGACAAAACTTCCTTCTTTGCACTTTTACAATCTCATTACTATTGTCCTTAGAAGCATTTGGATTGACCGGCAATGAATGCATCCAATAAGGAATCTTCCTTAACCTAAACCTCCATGAATACACATAACTTTTATCTGATAAGTTGCCATTGTGCTTTGAACCTAAGCCCACATAAACCTCATTATCTTCCCACATTTTGTACAGATCAATGGAATATGCCATTATCGGATTATATGGTCTTTTATCACTCAATTTACTTAGCCTAACCTCTAATCTTCTGGAACTTGCATCATAGTCAATCCACGACCTCAGTTTCTCTCCACTCTTTGTGGTAAAATGAGTGGATGGTTCATTATCGACAGTTACAGATACAATAATAGTATTAGAATCACCTACATTGCTATCCGTTGAAACGCCAAATTTAATACACAGATACCCTTTCTCTTCTGAAACATTCAACGGACCTTGACCCAGAAATTTCGATTCAAAATTATAGAGACCCATAACAAGAGAGAGACCAACGGCATTACCTGTAAATGAGAAGACGAACTCCGTGGAAAACGATGTCTTTTTCCCGGCATTGGAACTGAGAAATTTGAAGGGATTCTTGTGCAAGAGAAGACCAGAACTTGAGGCATTCGGGCTTGTTAATTGCACACGAGAGCCATCATCAGAGATCGTGGCGTCTCCGAGAAGAACAATTTGGGGATCGAAGTTGGGATTACCAGTGATTAGGGTTACAAGTGACTGACTAGAAATGGGGTATAGGGTTAAGAGATAGAAAATCAGGAAGCAAAAGGGTAATGTGGACCTGAAAATGAGAAATGTAGCCATGGTTTTGAAGAAATTTTGGAGTGTAGTGCCAAGCAATAGATTTATATGGTTTAAAAAGACTCCATTTTCACGGTAATCTAGCGCAGAAAGCTGTCTTAACCTGGAGGGGAAGAAGAAGTGAAGCAGCGACTATGCTTCGATTCTACTATTCCAACTTCCAAGTATACTCAAAACTTGAGTGGATAGGCCCGAATTGGGCCAAGCCTTATTTAAGGTTGGCCCAATTTATATTTCACTCAATATTAATATTACCAATTGATCAAGCCTACCGGCTTCAGACACTGAGTTGGAGTCTCCGACGTGCCCCATCCAATAACGGACCCAGCCCAAATAGTTACGGGAGTCAAAAAATAATTTTACTTAATTATGAGTTGTAAAACTAAAATATATTTATTTTTCAAAAATTTTTTATATTAAAAATTGTTATTATTTTTTTGGAAGAGCACAGCCCCTTGGCCCTGCCTGCGTCCGGCCCTGCCCCCGTCAGCCCTCTCCCCTGTTATTCTAATTAAAAAAAAAAAAAAAAAAAAGTAGACGGAACCCGGAGCTCCGCAAAATAGTGTACGGGAGGTCAGAAAAAAATAAATTTTACTTAATTCTGAGTTGTAGAAACTGAAAATATATTTATTTTTCCCAAAAAGATTTGTTTATATAAAAATCTGTTATTATTTTTTGGAAAGAGCACAGGCCGCCGTTGGCCGGCCTGGCCTGCGTCCGGCCCTGCCCCGGTCAGCCCTCTCCCCTTGTTGATGTGCTAGATTAGAAAAAAAAAAAAAAAAAGAAAAAAGAAGACCTAAGAATTAAAAAAAAAAAAAAAAAAGAAAAGAAACTAAGATTTACCAATACATGTTTGATGTGTTAAGTTTCTAGTGTTTTGGATTAACGAAATTTGGGTGGTAAAAAAATTCTATATTTTATGGAATTGTCAGATTTTATTTTATTTTATTTTATAAAAATAGATAACAATTGTGGAAAGGGACCGTGAGATTCATAACTTGAAATTCACTTCTAGTTGGCAGCCAAATAGATCTTTGATGGTTTTTTTTTTTTTTAAAAAAAAAAAATTCTAACTTGAGTATATTGCAAGGTTATACATCTACTTAGCATTAGACTATGTCTTGATGTGCAGATCTTTAATGGTTTTAAAATTTCCTATAAACTATTATAATACTAAACTAGAAGTTACGATTACCATATAACATTCATGTTGAATGGCACATAATGCCCTTTCTTTGCACATAGCGGGGGAGCTAGAATATAATTACACGGGATCAAAAGACAATTTTTTAAATTAAAGGGACCAAATCAAAGAATAAAAAGTTTTTTTTACACTATTTATGAGTGAATATTTAAAATTTTTTTAGAGTTTGGGGGGAAGGGGTCAGGCTCCTCCCAATCCCCCCTCTCTCTCCCCCTGGTTGAACAAGTTAGGAAGTACACCCTGTGGCTCAAATGCTACATATATATATATATTGAACACAGTTTAGGAAGTAGACAGCCGCTGCGTGGCTCAATGCTACAGTATATATAGTATATATATATATAGTATAGTATATTTTTAGTAAATTTAGAAAGCAACAATTGAGTTTAGGTGGGGCTATCAATTTGCCCGCTGGCATGGGACTTTGCTCGCCACAAAATCATCGACTTGTGCTTCAACAGGAAAAGTAGTCGAAATGTTAAAATGATGGGTAGGAAGATTGCATTATGTTAGATTGTGTTTATGCAATAATAAGGAGAAACGCTTCCCCACATCAGCGCTATATATATTTATAATTTAGAAGCACATTGATTTTAGGTGGGGCTATCATTTCCCTGGCAATGGACTTGCTCCCACAAAATCATCACTTGTGCTTAACAGAAAGATAGTCAAATGTAAAATGATGGGTAGGAAGATTCTATGTAGATTGTGTTATCAAATAATAAGGAAAACCTTCACCACATAACGCATATTTATGTATTCTTCTTTTTATTATCTTGGACCAATAAAATATTCACCAAACGCCCATCGATTTGGGGATGCTTGTTTTGACGATCCCTCAAACACGTTTGGCTGCCTCAGCTCTCTTCTCCCCCTAGTTTACACACAAAAAGAAAAAAGGGTTATTGAAGTTGAATTTTTGGAGGCCAGTCAAGAGGGTTGGTTCCTTTAGTCCCTACCTTGGGAAGGTTCATCCAATCACCTCGAGCATGATTAGGAAGTTAAAACGATGTCCAGGCTTTCTTTCGGCAGTTTTTGTGTCCTTGAAATAGACTTTGTAGTCCAAGAAGGAGACACTTTGGACTCTGTATTTCACGTTTGAAGACGTTTTGTACACTCTAATGTCAAAAGAATTCTCATCTCTCAGACTTAGATAGCCCTGTCTTCTTGTACCATTTCAATTCCTATGCATTTCATCCAAGAAACTATCAATATATTGTTGTTTATTGCTACACAAATCAAACCTAACATACGTAGATGTAGGTTAAATTTATGTCCACTAATTCTTGAAAATAAATAAATAAATAAAGAGATCGATCTGTTAATTGTTACAATTCACATGAACATGGAATGAAAATTAGCCAAGAATAAGATAAGTCTGCTCCAAGTACTTTAAAAAAAAAAAAAAAAAAAATCTTTTGCAATAGAAAATTCAAAGAAATTAGTACTTTCAAATATTAGGAAACCAATAATCCCTAGCCCAGCATCAACATGGTATGTGCCATATTGTATGGTATCAGATGAATGAAGCTCATCATACTTGATCCTCCTGTAGTCAACCATGTAGTCGTTCAAATTGTTTGTTCAAAAATACATATCCTTTTAGATATTATTATTGGAGGAGAAAAAAAAAAGTCTTGGAATACTGTTTAGATGTGATATAGGCTTTTTTTTTTTTTATTATTATTATAAAGTATCTTTTCAACCCGTGCTTAACACTTGGATGAGAGAATAATCCTTTCCGAATTAAAGAGTGATTATGTTAAAAAAATTTTTCAAAATGCAAACTTCACTACTTAGGGTCTATTTGGCAAAATTAGCTATTTTAATAGTGTTTAGTTGTTAACTATCCGAATAATTTTCATCAAACACGAAAAATTAAACTTTATATTGATTAATTTTTTATAATACGATACTTTAACTTCTAAAACTTACTTCACATGCTATGTTTTTTAAAAATTTTTGCCAAACATAGCCTTAATAAATTTGAAATTAGTGATTAAAAAAATGAGAAGGCTAATTGGGGGCCATGTGACAACAGAAATCAAAATGGTATATAGAGGCTATTAGAATGTTGGGGATCATGTGCTAGCTTGCTAGGTAGCAAGGATTGATCACTAAAAAGACCCTTTATTTGAAAAAATTAGGGCAAGATTTTAAAGGACTTGTTTATTTTCATTTTTTATTTTTAATAAGGTCTCACCACATGCGGATGATTCCTTTGCCTCTGGGACACTCAATCTGAGGCCCAAAGTGGAAAAAAAAAAAAAAAAAAAAAAAATTTTTAAATAAGGTCTGCCAGCACATGCGGAATGGATGTCGCTTTCTGCCTTCTGGGAGCACCTCAAGTCTGAGGCGCGGCAAAGTGGAAAAAAAAAAGAAAAGAAAAAGAGAGAAAAGAAAGTCCTTTGAAAATCATGCTTCGAACTGCCTTGGATTCTAATTAAAGGTCTGCAAGACGCATGTGGATGTTTATTGGAGCTCTTGACCCATTGGCCACAGCAAGAAACATGGCCTATGCTATGCTGTTTTAGGACCGCTTGTGAAAACCCAAGCTTGTTAGGGATGGCCTTAAAAAAAAAAAAAAAAAAAAAAAAGTCCTTTAAAATCATCTTTCACTGCCTTGGATTCTAATTAAAGTCCTCAAACCATGTGATTTATTGGACTCTTGACCCATTGCCACACAAGAAACATGGCCATGCTACTCTGTTTTAGGACCTTTAAAACCCAGCTTTTAGGGATGGCTTAGGCAAGCAGAAAGTAACTTCAAACACATGCTATAGGCTGAGCCAGAAAACTTTAAAAAAAAAAAAAAAACAATTAACAATTAATTTTATTTAACTCATTCCTATAAGCATAAAAAAAGTTACTTTTTGAAAAGTTGAAATCAACTTGTTGGAAGTATGCAATGATCAAGGTTTCCAGAAATGGGGTATTTGAATTTCTTGTCAAAAGCATTTAGAAATTATTGTATTCACTATATGGAGGGGTCACTGTTCTATCAAATGGCCAGCTTCCACTTGGAAATTTTCTTGTTAATTGATAATTAATGTTTCTTGATTCATAAACTAAATTAAATGCATGCATATATCTAAATAATTAACCAAAAAAGAAACAAAAAATAAAAAATAAAATTTTCCTTTCATTCTAAATTCTGTAAATTAAATTTTCTTGATTTGCATTGTAATTTTAAAGAAAATATCAAGTAAGATGCAGTTTCAATTCTTTGCGCAAAGTGTGTGTAGGTAGGAGAAAGTGGGTATATAGATGTATGAAATAAGTGGCCAAGAACCTCCACCAGATATAAAATATTAGTTCCACACCTATATTATAGATTCTTGAAAATAACACTAGTATTATATATATATATATTAAAAAAAAAAGATCATCTGAAATTCCTATATATACTTCTTTAAAAGACATATAATTTATTCCTTTTACATCTTTCTGAAATAAGGAAATATGAATAAATTCTTAGGTGCTTTCACCTTTAGCTCTCTTATATAGGATTAGAAATTATCCCATTCTTGACAACTGTAAACAAAAAGCAATTATAAGAACAAAGAAGGAGGAGAAGAAGGAGAAGAAGAAGAAGAAGAAGAAGAAAGTACCCTTTTGAACTTTTCTCGAAGCTGCTCTTTCCATTTTCTAGAGAAGGCCAAGTTGCATCCTATAACTAAAATTAGATCCAACAATCATTTCCATATATATGGAGTTTTAGAATTTCCAAATATATATATATATATATATATAAAAGTTAGTTTCCTACACATAATTTTAATTAATAAAAAACTAAGTTTCCTATACATCTTCTCAAAAAAAGGAAAAGAAAATTTTTATTTAGCTTAAAAAAATTGGTAGTTATACTGGATGATACATATATCTATGCAATATTGAATAAATTTGGAATTTTTTTTCTACAACTAACGAATTACAGAAGAAAATAATAAAATCTTATATGAATGATACCATAAGTTGTTCTTATATTTTTGCCATATAAAGAAAACAAATTATTTCTATATATATGAAACTAATAAAAGAAAACACTACTCTACCAAAGGAAAAATTATATATAAATATTAAAGAAAATACACAAAAAAAAAAAAAAGAAGCTACATCTATATATAACTTACTGATCTATCACTGTTTGCATCATCTTCTCTCCATAAATTTCAATCCTTGCTGGTTTTCTCCGGCGAGTTTTCGCCGTGAATTGTACATATATATTTGCTGTTGGTGGTGCATGATAAGGAAGTGGTGCACCAGCATTAAAACGCCATTGTCAGAAGCTACCAAAGGAGGAATCCAAAGGGATAGCATGATCCCAGAAAAAACGATGGAGAAGAAATTTAGGTTCAGGATCAATGCGATCCCTTTGGATGTCTCCTTTAGTTGCAGTAGTAGCAAATTACCTCATCAACAAGAACTTACATATAATCGTAATTTGAAACTCTCTTTTCTCTCTCTCTCTTTCTCTCTCTCTCTCTCTTCTATATTATAGAGTAAAGTGGGTTGGAGGAAGGGTTCATTATAAAAGAGACTAAAAATTTTTAATTTTTAATTTTTAATTTTATTCGTCTATTTTAGATTTAAATTCCAACGTCCATTTCTTTATGACTAGATTAAGATATTTATTTTAGAATTTAGAGTTGTTATTATTAAATTTAGAGTTTAAAAATAGGTGCATATACGGTGTGAATAAAATTATCTGGAGATGTGCAATAGAAATTAAAAGTTATATATTTTTTTTTTTGAAATTTTGAATTATTAATAAAGAAATATAGGAACTTGATGAGAAAATGTTATTTCTGAGATATTTATTTAATTGTAGGCCCCATTCTCTAACAAACCAGACACATGGAAAAGGTTTTAGCAGTAGTGGGTCAGCTATCTCTTCTGAGAAATACCCCAACAAGTTGGGTGGCAATATTAATTAATTTCTATTTTCTTGTTTGCTTATTTTTATGAAGGTCATGTGGTCCAATCCATGTTCCCTTTCTTACACCAAACCCCCCCTTTTTTATGCTTATTTCACAAGGAATACATTCTCAATTTAATTTCTTTTATATATTTTAATTGTTTTTTATATTTAAAAATTAAAAATTAACATGGGTCTTCTTGTTTTTAAATATATAGGTCAATCATATGATCATATGTTTGACCTAAATTAAAAACATATGTTAGTGGATCCAAAGCATTTGCAAGATGTAGGATTTTTAGGCTTATACCAAGCTTGGTCAAAGACAGAGTTTAAGCATATGATTCTTAAAACAGAAAAATGAAGCCAAATTAGGTTTGCAACGAAGAGCCTAGGAGATGTAGCATGTAGGCGCACATGCATGCAAAATGAGGTTTGATTCGCACCAAAAATGAATTATTAGCTGTCACAACTTGACACCCACTACCTAAACTCTTCAATCTTGCCATATCAACAGCTCTTCCTCCATGTATAACACTAAAGGAAAAAAATGTCAAATTGCGATGGATTTTAGCCATCGATTATATTCAGTCGCTAAAATAGATAAAATAGCGAATCGTCAAAAATCACTATTATACAGAAAATGTTATAATCGAATTGAGATCAATTAGAGACCAAATTTTTGTCCATAGCTAAATTCTGCGAGAATTTTTTTGACACTAGAAGTAGTAACTAGTTAACTTAAATGCACGAAGATTAGCTTTTGAAAAAGAGAGTAGTTTAACTAATAAGACACATTTGAATTTAATATATCTTTTTTAATTATAATTAGAAGTTATATAGAATATTATTTATAGATAGAAAACAACCATTAATGTCAAACTTGTATAATTAAATATTTTCAGTTTTTTTTTTTTACTTTAATTTTCCAATTTTTGTATCATAATTTTTGGAGGTATTTTCCTTTTTTTGAAAAAAAAAAAAAGTTGTGAAAGACAAAAATCGAAAGGAATCCATATATTTATTGGTAAAAAGTGACTTAGAAAAGGCAGATGCCATAATTTCATCACTTGATTGAGGTTGTTAATCCCAAAACACACTGCGTTTCACCACATAATTAATAATCATATATAAAAAACAATTAATTAATTATTTTGTGATAATTAAAATGTTAGAATTTATGTTGCTTTTTTGGTGAGTAGTCAACGGATGGACAATCACTGAAAAGAGAGAACGTCCGATATGATGACTAGTGCCACCCCCAAAGCTTATAAGCTTTTTTTTTTTTTTTTTTTTTTTTCCAATTTTTTTGTATCAATAGATTTTGGAGGTTAGTGTTTGCCTTTTTTTTGAAAGAAAAAAAAAAAAGGTGGTTGTGAAAGTAACAAAAAGTCGAGAAGGAAATCCATATATTTATTGGTTAAAAAGAAGGTGAGCTTAGAAAAGGGCAGATGGCCATAATTTCATGGCACTTGATTGAGGTTGTGAATCCCAAAACACACTGGCGTTTCGCACATAGATTAATAATCATGATATAGAAAACAATTAATTTAATTATTTTGTGATAATTGAAAATGCTTGGAGAATTGTTATGTTGCTTTTTTTGGTGGAGTAGTCAGTCCGGATTGGAGCAATGTCAGCTGAAAAGAGAGAAGTCCGATATGATGACTAGTGCGCACCGCGTGCCCAAGACGCTTATAAAGCCTTTTTGTTTTTTTTTTTGTTGCTTGGGGTTAATTAAGAAACATGAATAAGTTGGTAAGTCAATATAGAAGAAAGGATGAGGAAAGATTTTCAAGCTTATATAGTATTTTTTTAAAACGTGTCATTGATTAAATAATCAAAGCTTTTTTTTTTTTTTTTGTTCTTTTAATTAAAACATAATAAGTTGGTAAGTCATATAAAGAAGGATGGGAAAATTTTCAAGCTTATATATATTTTTTTAAAACGTGTCATTGATTATAATAATTATGGTGTCCCATGAACCATTAATTGTTTATCATTATTTGTTTTGATTTCAATATCGAAGTACAAGTCTAATTTCATTACAAAGGGATATTTATTTTTATTTTTATTTTTACTAATATGGTTACTAGCCATTTCATTAATATATTTGATTTTTTTTAAGATTTTTTTTTCAAGAAATATTATGATATAAATTTTATATGCTTCACATTTCAATGAATTTTTATTACAAAATTAATGTTTTTTTTCGCAAATATAAATCGTTTTAAAGTAGTTTTTTTTTTAATACATATAAGTCGTTATTGAAAATAGTAAGAGTAATTAATGAACTTTTTTCAAATTTTATCCCATATATATTGAACACACTAATTATATTAATAATGTGAGATAAATGATAATTTAGTCAAATTGATGAACGTTTTGTGATAATCTAAGGAAGTTAATTGCTTTTTTAATCACCATGCAAAAATCTTAAACGACTAATATTTATAGACAGAGGAAATATTATTTAGTAAGAAGGAAATATCATGTGATTCAATAATTGATATTTTTTGTTGCAAAAATAAAAAAAAAAGAAAAAAAAACAAATATAGCCTGAAACCCTAATGGCATAGTTTCTGTTTTTGATATACATGCTTCATAATTTTAGCAATGATATAAATTTTAAGCAATTTATTTATTTATTTATTCCTTCTTTTTCCCTGAGATGCACATCACATCTTGTTAGTTTTTAACTAGAAAAAGTGAGAGCATTGGAAGCTAACTATATAGTTGTAATCTGATGAACTATATCATGTGCATGTGCATATTGTAATGTAATAAATTATTCTCTTATATACGTATAAATATCCATCCACATATAGAGCCCAACATGGCAGTATATTGGACTAAGGAAACATAAGGTAACTAGGAAGTCCTTATAAGCTACAACAACAAGGCATCTGAACAAGTCATATCAACCATTGGATTGCAAGAGCTACATCTCTAAAGTTCCAAGTTGACCACTTCAGATTTTGATGTATGGTGCTAGATCTTGTCCACACTGATGAAGCATAAGTGGACCACCAACAAAAGTTTAGGCTTTCTTGGTGCTGTATGGATCCCACCAACCACAAATATATGACATGTATATAGTCATTACTACTATCTTTACATGGTAATTTTAGATTTTTTTTTTTTTAACTTTATATCTCATTTTATCTTTTTTTTTTATTATTTTATTTTAACCATTCGGTGTCCGAATTTCACTAGTCCGTTTAATCCAGATTTGGGCCGGGCAAGTCTACAAATGAAGGCAAAACGCTCTCTCCAAATGTTTAAAGAGATTCGATATTTAGAGTTCAAACTCGAGACCTTTAGTTAGAGGGAGAATGGACCCCTACAATCCCATCTCACCCCTTGAAAGTTCTCATATTATCCTTTATCCCTAACCCTGCACATAAAATTAAAGTCTATATATACCCAACTACTCTATTTCTATCTTTCTCATCACTATCCAGATTTAAAGAATTGACCAATCAACTATTGTCTGGTTGGTTTTCTCATTTATGTGAAGAGTGTGATGTCTTAAATTCGAGTCATCTCAACTATAAATGTTTGTACCAATTTAGTCAGTCTAGGAGAGGACTACCGCCTATTGAAAAACCCGCGGTGTTACTTTGGTCGGACCTTCTAATGAATAAAAAAATATATAAAAGAATAATTTAGTTTAGTATAATAAAAATTGTTTAATGATTTTAATATTTGTGTAATTATTTTAAATTTAAAAAGGTTAAAAAAAAAAAAAAAAAAAAAAAATATAAAGCATAATTTTTAGTTTAGGCCTGATAATAAAAAGTTTGTTTAATGATTTTTAATATTGTGTAATTATTTTAAATTTGAAAAGGTTTATAAAAAAAAAAAAAAAAAAAACAATAGTGGGGTAAATTGCGGTAGGGCTGATTGTGTCCAATATTAGAGTGAAGCAAGAATTTGGTTGCATTTGGGCTGTAGCTATCAGAAGGGTGCACTCTGAGAAGCCGATGTCCCTTTGTAAGACATATAATTTCATAACCATCCAGTCCTTGTTACCATATGGTACATGCACAATTATGACCTTGAAGGACAAAAACTGCCATATTATAATCTTACACAGTTTATTATTTATTTATTTTGCAATATATATTATAAGCAACTCCAACTCTCATAATTTTATATTAATGAGAAGGTAACTTTCAAGTGTGGACTTATATACTTTAATTCAAGATCTCATTTTTAATTAATCTCACCTCATATCATCACATTTTTTTTTTGAATTTTTGAATTTGAAATTATTCTAGTTTGCTATCTCTCCTCATTATTGGACATATATATATAGAGAGAGAGGGTGATACTATCTTCAAGCTATAACTGTCTGCTATTCATGTACTATATATGACTCTATTATATATATTAAATGAATTCCCTGATACACTATTTGATGGTTTAAATGTATATTTATTATCATTGTTTTTTGCTTTTTTTTCCATAGCGATTTATTGGGTGCTTTTGTTGCTGATTGGTTTCCATTTGCTCAAGAAATTATCATTTATTATTGTGTCCACTGTGGGGTCCTTACCCTTCTTTCTTATTACAACTATTTGTTCAT